CCAGGGACATAAATCAGAATTAACTTGCATATACACATATTAAATTACACTCTTCCATATAATATACTGAAAACCTCACACAAACACTAGTAAAAAGCTCTCACATAAACTAGTGAAAACATTGACCTCTTATATAATCTACTCAAAAGCTCTCATACAAAGTAGTGAGAACTGTTCATATAAACTGGTGAAAAGCTTTACGTTTCATACACACTACTAGAAAGCTTTCATATACACTATTAGAACGCTCTCATATACACTATTAGAACGCTCTCATATACACTACTAGAACACTCTCATATACACTATTAGAAAGCTCTCATATACACTACTAGAATGCTCTCATATACACTATTAGAACGCTCTCATATACACTATTAGAAAGCTCTCATATACACTATTAGAACGCTCTCATATACACTACTAGAACGCTCTCATATACACTATTAGAACGCTCTCATATACACTATTAGAACGCTCTCATATACACTATTAGAACGTTCTCATATACACTATTAGAAAGCTCTCATATACACTATTAGAAAGCTCTCATATACACTATTAGAAAGCTCTCATATACACTATTAGAACACTCTCATATACACTATTAGAAAGCTCTCATATACATTAGAACGCTCTCATACACACTATTAGAAAGCTAAAATATATGGTCCCCCTCCTTTAATTTAGGCAAACATTGCTCAAATATCACCGAATCCAGATGGTTTGTTGTTGATGAAGAGAGAAATAAACACAGTTTAAGATTTGCAGCTAAATTAATTTGTTTCTATATTATGGAACTGCTATCAGGCACTTCCCATCATCTTATATCAGTAATAAAAAATTATAAATACAAATTTGGTATTTGGTGACTTGACTTTTATTTCTGTCAGGCTGAAGTGAAAAAACTTGGAAAGAGACTGATTCTCTTGGCGTTTAAAATAACAACACAAAACAGCATAAGAAAACCGCATTTATTTTTTTTATTTTACAATTTTGTAAACAACAGTGGCTGATTAAACTAAATGTCTCAACCTTGTATAATTTTACGACTTTTTATTTAACCAAGAAATGATCCGAAAGGCCTGGGAAATGATCAGATCCGCTTATGTGGCTGCAATGCGCGGCGCGCTCCCGACACAGGTGGAACAGATTTTCACATGGGAACAGAATTTCGCACAACACCGGAAAAGGATCTCTGTTGAAGCAAAAACATAAAAAATAAAGTCGAGTAATGCCCATGCTTCTGTGAGTTGTTTAGCGGATAGCTGAGCATGAATCAATAATTTTATTTGATACAATTTTGGCCGGAGATAGCACAAAATGTACGGAGCTAGCCAGAATGACCTCCGTTTAAAACAACTTCCGGTGTAATGACGGTCCTTCCTGTTTCACTGAAACACCTTCTGTTTCAACTGAAACACCTTCCGTTTCAACTGAAATCCGCTAATAGCTTTTCAGTAGTGTGTATGAGAGCTTTCTAATAGTGTTTATGAGAGCGTTCTAATAGTGTATATCAGAGCTTTCTAATAGTGTATATGAGAGCGTTCTAATAGTGTTTATGAGAGCTTTCTAATAGTGTATATGAGAGCGTTCTAATAGTGTATATGAGAGCGTTCTAATAGTGTTTATGAGAGCGTTCTAATAGTGTTTATGAGAGCTTTCTAATAGTGTATATGAGAGCGTTCTAATAGTGTATATGAGAGCGTTCTAATAGTGTTTATGAGAGCGTTCTAGTAGTGTATATGAGAGCGTTCTAGTAGTGTATATGAGAGCGTTCTAATAGTGTATATGAGAGCTTTCTAATAGTGTATATGAGAGCTTTCTAATAGTGTATATGAGAGCGTTCTAGTAGTGTATATGAGAGCTTTTTAATAGTGTATATGAAAGCTTTCTAGTAGTGTGTATGAAAGGTAAAGCTTTTCACCAGTTTATATGAACAGTTCTCACTACTTTGTATGAGAGCTTTTGAGTAGATTATATAAGAGGTAAATGTTTTCACTAGTTTATGTGAGAGCTTTTTACTAGTGTTTGTGTGAGGTTTTCAGTATATTATATGGAAGAGTGTAATTTAATATGTGTATATGCAAGTTAATTCTGATTTATGTCCCTGGGGGCACCTCATATCAACCTTTCCACTCTTGCATAACCTTTTTTTTTTTTTTTGCAACTGATTTAACTTTTTTTTTTTACTTATCTGAGCAGCTTAACCTTAACACTTTTGAAGATTAGTGGGATTTATTTTTTCCATAGTAGCCTAATACAAAAAAAAAGTGATTTTTCTGTGTGCTCATACTTCGGAAATCGATACTTCATTACCAGATTGTGTGTTTTGGTTTTTGCTGGTCACTTGTTTTTAGAGACAACCAATGGCGTAACGACACAAAAATAGGCTCGTAAGTGACATTATCTGGGTGAGCCCCATATGAAGCACAACACCCCATCCCCTACCCGCCCTCCGTCGCTAACACATTGTACAGTACGTAACGGTTATAGTTTTAAAGGGGAACTTCGTTTTTTTTACATTGGTCCCTTGATTTTACGTTATTACATCATGTTCTACTCACCCATATGAGTTTTGTGTCATTTGGAGCTGTTCTGAAGATATTCCATTAGGAGAGAGCTAAGAAAGACACCTTATGTCAAAAATGATTGATGACTTATGACCTTATGTCCTCTATGACCGTATGACCCCCCCCCACCCCCTTCCGGTCCCTTCCCCCCATGAATGATTTATGACCTCACCCCTTCCCCCCTACTGATCCCATCCATCGGGGTAGGCCCCGAAGGCTGAGATGAGGCCAGGTTCCAAAATGTTTTCTACTGTTCGGATGGCTAGGTATGGGTAGAGGTTGGATGAGGCCAGAAGGTGGTCTGCTGGAACATTACAGACAGGACAGGCAGAAACAAACTCATAAACGTCCTTGTTTAGGGACGGCACCAGAAATTCACTGTCATAGTTTGTGGAGTGTTGGCCTGGTGGGTTAGAGCAGTGCACTTGTGCTCTGAGAAGGTTGCAAGTATGTGGTTCGATTCCCCACAGCTTGCAGTCTGGGTCCCTGAGCAAGACCCTAAACCCCGGGTGCCGCACAGTGGCAGCCCACTGCTCCCCAAGGTGATGGGTTAAATGCAGAGAGGGAATTCCTCCAGTTTGGGATTAATAAAGTTAAATTATTATAGGGGAGTGGCAGCCTAGTAGTTAGGGCGTAGAGCTTGGAATCCTGAGGTTCTGAGTTCGAGCCGGGTGACCAGAGAACCTGGATGAATGCCCCAACCGGATTACCTTGGAACAGACTGCTGAAGGGACATAGAGTCGGAGGAGAGATATGATCTCTCTTTTTAATTTTCATCAGAACTCTGGCTGCAGCATTTTGGATCAGTTGAAAGCTTTTAACTATAGTTTGTGAACTTCCTGATAGTAAAGCATTACAATAGTCCAGCCTTAAAGTAACAAATGCATGGACTAGTTTCTCAGCATCACCCCTGGACAGGATATTTCAAATTTTTTGCAATATTCCTCAGATGAAAGAAGGAAATTCTAGAAACCTCTTTGATATGGGATTTAAATGACAGGTCCTGATCAAGAACAACACCAACATTTTTTACTTTATTATCTGAAATCAGTTTAATCCCATCCAAATGAAGTGACTGACTAATCAGCTTATTTCAAAAAAGACTCTGGTCCAAAGACTATAACTTCTGTTTTGTCTGCTCGTGTATGACGTAATCATATACGCGCTGCTTCGTTTTAAAAAGATATAAATATAAAAAATATAACCGCTGATGTCTGGGGGACAGTGATTCGCCTACATGTTATGAATGCTGCTGTAAATCATGAACAGTTTAGTTTGTGCCTTCAAGTCGTTTGCCCATAGGAAGACGTTATGACCTAACTGATTATCTTCAGAACAGCTCCAAATGACACAAAACTCTACTACTATGGTTGAGTAGAACGTGATGTCATAACGTAAAATCAAGGGCCCGATGTAAAAAAAAAAAAAAAAAAAAAAAACGGTGTTCCCCTTTAATCTATGCTCTGGATTACCCATAATTCCTAGCTGTATTTAAAAAAAATATACTCAAATACATCCTTCTTCTAAGATCTTTATTGCGGTTTATTGAAACATATAATACGAGGGTATTTTTCACCAACCGTCTAATGAACTATACACAGTTATTAACATAGTAATTAAAAGTACTTCTGTCTGCTTTGCTATTGGTGTGGTGTTTTAACTGCTCACCATCCTATTGAAATCTGCCACTTATTGGGGTATAAATAAGGTCCGGTCAGACTCCCATGTATCAGGTGGGTTTAAGGAGAAATTTTCCCACCATTACATTCGCAACTGCGTAGGGGGCCAACCAGGTGTCAAAGACCCGGCCCTAAGAGGTCGGGGGCCCCAAGTAACTGCAGTCTTTGCTTACCGATAGTTGTTGACTTTGTCAATATTTTCAAGTTTTCGGTCAGAGCTCGAGTTAAGGATTCCTTTCAGCTTATTTAATTTTGAATCCTTCATGATCCAACTCATTTGTTTTAACGTTGACACGTGTTGCGCAGCTGCATAACCAGCAGGCAAGTTTGGACAGGATGGACAAAGCGGACATGGTCCACACTGCAAAAAATGGAAATCTAAGTAAGTAATTTTTTTCCTAAAATAAGTGCATTTTTTTCTCAAATTGAGGACGAAAGTGAGACACTTTGCCAATGCAACAAGACTATTTACATTTAAAATAAGAAAAAAACTATTGCATTGTCTTATTTCAAGTGCATATTAACTAATTTTCTTATTTTAAGACTAAAGATACTAATTTCATTGGCAAATCATCTTATTTGGGTAAATACACTTAATTAAATTTTTTTTTTTTACTGATTTCTGGATTGTTTTTGCAGTGCAGTCAGATACTGAAGTATTCAAATGAGGGAACCCTTTCCCTGCAACCCCCACGCTACTGCGAGGAAAAGACACTCCTCCGAAAAAGGAGCCTCTCTCTCTCTCTCCCCTAAATCCCCTGATCGGGCTGCCAGCCCCCCTCTGAACATGTCCTCCTTCAGACGCACAATCTGAGCCTGTTCATGTCATGACACGGAGCAGCGCAGGACCGAAGAGGTCGAATCCTGCAAACACCTTGGATCTCTGCAGATGCCTCTTCTCCTGAGTCTACAGCCTGGTTCTTTCTGAAATATGCAATGTTCGCTGGGCTGCTCGGCTCTCTTTCAGCTGCACTTTGTTTTCATGCTGGCAGCGAGCCACGATGAGCCATCCGGCAGATTTCTCTCCTTTTCCTCTGCTCAAGGTCCGTGCGTTTGCAGGAACGGAAAACAAACGTTTATGCGCAAATTTCTGCGGGGTGCATGAATAAAAAGAAATAACTTTCTCTCTACTCCTCTGTAGGTCACTCCTCCCCGTCAGGCTCAGGTCCCTCCATCGTCCACCCTGTGAGAATCAGCGCTGATGGGGAGTTTGTCTCCCACTCCTTGTCTCACCATTTCAGGAGAGTCAGGCGTGAGCTGCGGTCCGTCTCTCCAGAGGAACAGGTCTATTACAAGCTCAGTTACAATGGCCAAACTTTAACATTCAATTTGACCAGAAACAACCACCTACTGTCAACTGAATACATCATTGAGAGGAGAAGGAATGGCATTTCCAACAGGACTGAGCATGATCAGACAGAGGGTAACTCCTGCCACCTCATGGGCACAGTGGAAGCCCCTGGTGTTGAAGGAACGGCTGCCATCAGCACCTGCAAAGGACTGGTAGGAGATATTTTCATTTTATTGACCCTATAGAGTGAGTGGTAAATCTCTGTGTCATTCATTAGATGAGATTATGGTCTGGTTAGTTCTATTCTGAGAAACATCAGTTACCTTTAGCAAAATTATGCAATTGTCTAGAATCAATGACAGTTATACAGAGTTACTGTTGAGGCAATGATGTAGAAAGCCAAATGAAATTGCAGCTTGATCCTTACTGCACAGATATTAGCTTCTATTGTTTTCCTGATCTTGCTGTGATAGCAGGAATTTCCAAAATGCACCTCCAGGACCAATTGTGGCTCTTATAAATGTTTTTTTTTTTTTTTTTTTTTTTTTTTTTTTTTTTTTTTTTTTTTTTTTTTTTTTTTGCTGCCCCAACTGCTGAATGGATAGTCCTTAAAATCAGTTTTGGAAAAAAAAAATATTTCACCCACAAATTTCAATTTCTTTTTTTTTTTTCTTTTTTTTTTTTGTGGGTATAGGTGTGAGCCTTTAAGTTTGGACTTACAACAGTTTTACAGATCAATTTTCTACTTAAAGGAAAAGTCTGGTCATATTCAAAATTCAAACTTCTTAAAGTACATTAAATATGAAAATATTACATACTGTTCAATAAATAAGTGTTTTTAATTAAGAGTAATTTCATTTGAATGTGCTTTACTGGAGGCATCCATTTATGTCAAAGAACATTACTGCCACCTACCGGTTTGTGACGTCACGGTGTGGTATCGGCTGTTGAGCAAGTCCAAGTGCTGCATTTAGCGTTAGCCACAACACGCTATTATCCAAGCTTGAGAAAACATAGTTTAAATGTTGTGCTCTTCTTTACTATAAAAGCTTGGCTTCTCAAAGGACCATGGCGCCCAGTTACAGGTTAAAATTGACATGTTTTCGTATTGTACAGACAGAATCAAACTGCAGAGCTTCTACATATCTTGAAATTTTGTTTCTGGCATCACTATATTAATAAAGAGGTTCATAAATCTTTTTAAACAGAACACAGAGTGAAGCTAACCTGACTCCGCCAGATGGATTTGCTCTGCATATCCATCTGGAAGCCTCCCGTTGAAGTAATTTGGGGAAGGGGCGAAAATACTGGTTAGCTGATTGGCCTATGTTGGTGATAGACGGGCCAAGTAAACCAATCAGATCAACGAAGCATATGACGTTGTAACAGAGCGACAACGAAGAGGAGCCAATTGATAGATCAAACTCTTGCCGAAACCAGTCGGGAGAAGAGCAAAAACATCTTTTCCTCTGAGAAAAGCCTCCAGAGCAGTGTTTTGCTCTTCTTTCAGTGAAGAAATACTCTGTAATTCCGATGAAACTTGCTCGATAGCCACGCTAACGCTAGTTTCATCGGCTGAAGCTGGAATATTCTTTAGACTGAACTGTCGCGCTTCTCGTTGCGTCACACCTCAACCTGCCTCAAAGCCAACGCTGATTGGATGTTCGTTTGGTGAACGGCTCCAAATTTTCTTTAATGGAGAGTAGCCAGACTGATCTGCGAGTGAAACCTTGAAAGCTTGCGAGATCAGGATGGTCTCACGAGGCTAGAGTGAAGCAGGGAGAGCTGCAGATTTAATGGTGAAACAGATTGACTGGGATATGCAACATGCAATAAAACATATCTCCAAATTTGCCAGAAAGTTTACAAGAAAACACTATGGAATGCTGTATTTAAAATGCTGCATATCCATATTTTTCTGGATGGATGGATGGATTTGAAATTGTGCATTCTAGGAATGCATGATTTTTCAACTTTGGCATCGGAATCGGCTGTTCTTCGTTATTTTTTTATATATTAATGTTTTTGGGCCCTGTTCCTCTTCCATGTTTAGCAACTCTAGATCCATCTCCGTGATATCTTGCAGACGTTGTTGTTTTGGGAGATAAACACTCCCACCGGTGCCGCCGAAGTTCTCGTGAGTTCTTGAATAGGCTCCTTTGGCGGGAAACTTCTGTGCGTCCCTAGAAATTCCAGACCGACGGTGCAGAAGCATACCAGCAAAACTGGTTCATGACCAAACCCAAGTGACATTTGATGTGTATAATCTGCCCTTAAGACGCCACTTTTCAAAACCTTGGGATATCTAGCCATAGGTAATCAGGCCATGCCTTCTTTATGTAGATATGTGCCCCAGGTAACCAACAAACTCATCAATCAATATGAAAGTGCAGTGGTAATAGTGTGGGTTTTTAAAGACAACCTGACATTATTTACAGAAGGTCTCCTTTGCTGTCGCCTGTTGCTTATTGGCACCCTGAGGAGTTCATCGTCCCTCCTTGTCTGCACTTGCAGAATGTCTTTATGAATACCCTATGCATGCACCGTCTCTTTACCCTGTGCATGGAGGGGGGACTTCAGTGAAAGCTTCTAGCATATTTTTATTGCATGGGAAACAAGGTGTGACAGATAAAAGGCAATGAAAGAGCGTAATACACTTTTTTTACTGGAGTAAAGTTTCTTCTTCTTTATTGTAGTGTTTCTATTCAGATGGATGAAGCCAACTGGACAGCAGATGTATAAGAATGAAATATAGGAATCATGCAAAATTCTAGAGTTAAATGCATGTTTGAAATTGTTTTATGTATCTGTCAACATTTTGTCAAGTATTTTAAAGGACGCAAAACAGAAAATTACTACAGAAGAAGAGGAACATTTGGTTAGTTGAAATAATGATGTGGAACCTCTTGTCATGGTGTGTTTTGGTCCCTGTACTTGGGTTTATTGTGTTACAGCAGGAACCTCTCGCCTAACTGCCTCTTAGTTGGGCTTTAATAAAATGTCTTACGCCTACCTAACCTGTTTCCTTTAAATCCTTCAAATTGGCGTAATATGATACACGTGACTCATAATGGGACATACATGACTCCAGGGAGAATGTATATCTCTGACCCACTTTTCATCTTTCTCAGTGAAAAAGGTGGCCTTAGGTAACAGTAAGTCTTGCTAATCTAGATCTACTGTGTGTATTGTATTCATACAAAACTGAAAGTCATCTTTAACTTGTTTAAACTGGAGTGGAGGTATGATGTATTACAGTGTGTTGGTCTGTGGATAAAGGTTTATAGCAGCTGAAAGCAAACAGAAACCATCAAACAGCAAGACTCTGCCAGACAGATGTGGGAGTGAAATCACAGCAGCTACAGAGAGGCCATTCAGCCCTGGGAGACAGAAAGAAGAACCATGAGCATATAAATGTGGATTGTTTTTTTTATTTATTTAGTCAAGTGAAAGAACAATTAAACATGTGAGAGCAGCTTACCGATCTTCTGGGAAAATTATATATATGTATTTTTTTTTACACTTAGTGGTGCTTACAGTCCATGTGTCAAGTTCTCAGCTTTTACAGTAAAACATTGAGGTTTAAAGCTCTTTTTTGTTTTAAAGAGAAATCCCTGTGACTCATTCTATGTGCTGTCTAATCTATTGTCTGTAAAAAAAAAAAAAAAAGGGAACAATAAATATGAGAACAGTCACGTTTTATCTTGAGCAGCTCTGATAAGGGATCAGTGAATCAAACAGGAAGTAGTCTAAAAATGACTCATGAAATGCATTAAAAGCGAAAATTTCAATTTTTAGTCTGTAATCAACACTATGGGAAGGAGCTTGAAGCACTTAATTTAATTAGGAAGCTTTTTCAATTTAAAATGTCTGAATTAGCATTGAGTTCCAAGCTTTATAGAGTAGCCCTTGAAGCTTGAAACTCAACGCTAATTCTGACATTTTGAATTGAAAAAGCTTCTTGGATGGGAAGTGAAACGTTTTCAAAGTTGGAAAACAAAGTCCAGTGGTTTGTTTTTTAACATTTTTGGAATGACTATGACCTGGATGACTGAAAATCTTCACCATGTAGTGTAAAGCGCCTTGGTCAAGTCTCCTGAATTGAAAAAGCGCTATATAAGAATAGGCCATTTACCATATACTCTTAAGCTATAGTCCTTAATAGAACAATTTGAACAACAAACTGGAATTTCAAGGGCAAATCTGTGGTTAGAAAAATGCATCAGCCTGCAGTTTATCAGTTTACTTCTAATGAAAGCTGTAAATTCTTTTCATTTTCTGTTCTATCAATCAAAATGTAATGTCTGATTTCATTTACACTTCAATAATTCAAAATCAGCAACAAAAGAGATGCTTTTTACTGTTTTATATCACACTATAATATTTTGCTGTATTTATGGCAAAGATATGATGAAAATCCATCAGGCAATGCCTTACAGTCTGTCATCATGAAACAATCCTGGTATTCGGTCTTGAGATTAAAAAAACTAACAAACAAAACACACAAAACTTATCCAACATAAAACAGGCTGCTAAAAAGCAAATAATGAGGATTGCATCTAGTCCTTTTTTTATTAAGTAAACTTGAGAAAACATTTCTTTATGCTTTTATGAAACTGAGGGAAGAATAATACTGAATAATTGCAAATATCAACAAAATGGTGTAATTCCAAAGAGCAGTGCATTCAAACAACTGTTTAAAATAAAATTGAATTAGGGACAATTCCAATTTCTGTGTACATTGCAAATGCCTTAAATAAAACACATATCAATAGCATAGTAATTCGCTCTAAGTTCTTAATTGGTTAAAGGAAATCGGTTGAGTATTATCTTTACTTTCTCATGTCTAGTTCTTCTGGATAAAACTGAATGTTAGAAAACATATGTGAGGTGAAAAGTTGGTAACAAAGCTCCATCATGCTTCCTAAGTGGTGTAAAGCCACATCATAGCCAAAGCCACTATATCAACACCTTTACATCCTGTCATTTAATGCGTCTGGCTGCAGATTTAATTGCTCTGCAGTTCAAACAAGGAGAGTTTTACTGCTGCAAGTTCAGCCTTATTTGATTCAGAACCATGTGTCTTTGCATCATGCAGGTCTCCTCTTACTGTTGCCGGACACTTGAAATCCCCGTGTTTGACTGAGAATTAACTAATTTGTGTTCTTTTGTTCATGTTAAAAAACTCACTGGAGTATTTTTGCATGCCCTC